TTAAACCATATCCAAAACTCAAATGGCGCTTGGAGAAATGACGACAAGAGGACATCGGTTGAAGTTGAATCATCCTTGCCGTGGAGGTTCCCTTCTGGTTCCCATCCACAAATGGACACCAGGAGTTTGGTAATATTGGCAAAGAAGAATATAAAAGCACATATCTGCGTCGCAGGCACGCCCTGGAGACTAAATACTTTAATAGTCTGCGGTAGGACGGTAAATATGGTCGAGGCCAATCTGATGACCAGGCCAGTCGCTTTTGGTGAGTTGCGCCGAGTTTGTTGAGTGGAATTCTCTGACGACAAAAATCTCGAAATACCTCGGGCCAGTACAAACAAGTCAAAGATTGAATCGATGAGACAGACAGCTGGGATAGAGCGAACAATATCGACGTTGCCTCCAAAGAGGTCATTATCTCTTCTTCGATTGCCTGATGGTTGGGCTGCTGCTGCTGATGCTAGAGAGGCGAGTATCCAGAATGCTGTTGGGCCGGTGACCTCTGCTGGCGATTGCGAGTCGCTGGACATATTTGCATGGCTTCGTAAGAGAGACGCGTTTAGAAACCGGTTTCAGTATAAGATGACGCTCCAAAGACATTGATAAAGATAAGCGAGGATGATTGGGGCGGTGTTTGGTTGTCAGCCTTGAATCTGCCTGGTTATGGCGGAGTCGTAGCGTTAGTGTTGTACGCAAACAGAGGGGAAAGCTACAGGCCAATATCATATGTCAGGCCAATCTTGGTGTACGCACTACCGATAAGAAGTATAGATTGCCTTAAGACCAGTACTGCTTTAGCAAGTCTAGCAAACCCCGCCACGATTCCAGACTTGGGTACCCTAAAGCACGCGATCTACCAGTGATGCTGTTAGAACAAGCCAAAGCTACTGCCATAAAACAGGTGAGATAATGTTAGTATACAGTGAGTCTATGACAAAATCTAACGAATAGCAATTGTAGTATTTGTTCTAAATACGAGTGGCACCCAGGGAATAAATTTCATTCACCTTGGAATTGACTTTGGAGATTAGGTTAAGCTTATCGCCACCATGTCCCCAGCTATCAAGGGCAGAGGCTTTACCGTCAAAGCGACACTGAGTGAACTTAGAACATACCTCAAATGTGCGACTGTACAAATGACTTCAATGTAACCTGCCAGTTGCGATCATTCACCGGTAATAATGAGAAACGCGCAGACTCGTGCCTTTTAATCTTAAGCTCATGAGGAGGTCACCTGTCTCGCCAGTAACTGGACCGTCTCTACGCGCTGAAACAAACGCTCTAGCAAATCAAGTGACCATTCAGATTATCCTGAATGGAATTGGAAGGTCATGACTGGACTCCTAGTCCGGTTTGGGTGCATCATCCCCGGACCTCGGGCCAATCACTCTAACCAGCACGGGCTAGTTTCCCTTCTCGGGAAATATTCCTCCCAGCAGGGTTGTAGGGCATGAAATTTGCGAGCGACTGATGTAACGCTCTGATAGGTCACGCTTCTTGATCATAGGGAGAGGATGCGAAAATTCTTGTCATTGAGGGTTGAGTGGTGACTATACTTTGGATCATGTCTGGGAGATGGAGAATCATTGTGTTGAGATACTTGAGCACGAGAAATGGTGTTCCGTGGTATACGCTTATCTTTCAGAATTGTTCCTTGGCTGGAAGTCTTCACTTTTTACAAGTGACGCGATCACTAGATCGACACGCTAGCAGCATGACACGCGGGAGGCTGTCAATGCAGGTCCGTCGGCATTGAGCCATGAGATCTCGGGCCCTTGCATCTGTTAGCATGATGGATATGACCCATGGCACTGGAATAATAAGATAGGGACTATAGTTAACTACGTACCAAATGCCATACTTCCCCCTATCCTATAAGAGTACATGGTTTCAGCCACCATTTTTATTCTAAGCAATCTGCCGAGTAGTTTCAGTCAACTATTACTTACCAGTACTTCTTACTACCTTCAAGATGTTTTTCAAGCAACCCCTCACAGCACTCTTGTCCCTTTCCGCCACGGCTCTGGCTTGGGATGCCCCAGGCTACAGTGGTTTTACACGTGTCTGGCAGGATCCCTTTTCTGGTGCAGCCGGCACTCTACCTGACACTAGCCGATGGAACATTATAACTGGATATCTCAACGTCAATGCGGAACTCGAAGTCTACACATCATCTAGTCGCAACGTCCAACGAAGCGGCGGCGATACCCTCCAGCTTGTCCCATGGCGCGATGCTTCCGCTCTCAAGGGCTGGACCTCGGGCCGTGTTGAGAGCAAATATGTTTTCACCCCCCAGGCAGGCAAGATCACAAGAGCAGAGGCCAACTTGCGATTTGGCTCATGCTCTACCAACAACAAACAAGGAATCTGGCCTGCTTTCTGGATGCTTGGAAACATTCTCCGTAACGGCGGTAGTTGGCCATCTTGTGGTGAGCTTGATGTCATGGAGACAGTTAACGGCCAGTTGACTGGATACGGAACTGCGCACTGCGATGTTTACCCTGGCGGCATCTGCAACGAAGGCACCGGTATTGGTGGCACGATTGGTCTCCCTAATCAAGACTGGCATACCTGGAGAATCGAGTTCAACCGCGCCAAGAGCAGCTGGCGAGATGAGACTATCACCTGGTTCCTGGACGGACAGCAGTTCCATCAGATCTCGGGTGCAAGGATTAACAACGAGGGAGTCTGGAACACCCTGTGCCATAGTCCCATGTATTTCATTCTCAACGTCGCTGTCGGTGGTACTTGGGTAGGTTATCAAAGACTCAACAATATCTTTCAAACATAAACTAACAGTGCAATAGCCTGGATACCCCAACGGTAACACCTGCGACGGCTACGGTAGCATGATGGAAGTCGGCTATGTCGCTCATTACTCTAACTAAGCGTGATTTGCTGACTCTCCCCATCACTTCGACCTACTTTATTCACGCCTGTTGTTTCTACTTTTATATCCCTTGATGGATCCAGATATCCCATTACATATTGTTGTTTGTTTTGTGTTTTCTGATCTGTTTTACATGATTGTCTACATGCACATTCGTTTCTCGCTGTATTATTACTAGACCTAGCATAGAACATATATTGTATACCAGTACAAGCTGAGATTTATTTCCTGACACTATTACTTTTGTTAACTTGTGTGTATTAAAGCTAAGTAAAGCGAAGTTTAATAATCTACCCTTATGGTACGAGGAAACGTTAGCGTACTAAAAAGGATGCTCACTAGCGCTGGCGTGGACTCATTCTGCTGACAGGAAAGTTTTACCTGAAAAGGAAGGATCAAATTTCAGTGAGTAAGCCAAAGGTATACGTAGTGATAGTAACTAGCCCCGCTCCAGCCTTCTCAGTACTGACGGGCAAACTTTGTCGAAGGATCGGCGAACGACGGGCCATTTCATGCGAAGGCACATGACTTTGTAAAACAGCTTAGAAACGTATTATATGCTGATATTTCCCAATTCGGAAGGATCATATAACAAAAGGTTGCTCTGCCATATTCCTTGAGATATCACAGTAGATAAATGAAGTATAAAGAGGCAGAAGATGCCCAAGACAGAAGAAGATCAAAACCATCGAACGACGAGACCTTCCATTGTAATCTTGTTTCATCTACCATTATCATCATCAATTCCTTTATCATCGTTGAAGCCGAGCTATCATGTCTACCACTAAGTCTTCAAAGATCAATATTGTCCTAGGAGTCGCAAATGTAGGTCAAGCTCTCCTCATTCATTCTCCTGAAGTGTTTCACATCTGATCACGGACCGTTAGGTCGGCGACGGTAATGCTGACCCCGTTGTCCGCTTCCATGAGCCAAGCGAGGTCATCGCCTTTCTCGATGCCTTCACCAAACGAGGATATAACCAGCTTGACACAGCACGCATCTATTCACCTCATGCACCAGGCACAAGCGAGCCAAAGATTGGAGAAGTCCCTGAGAAGAACTTCATCATTGACACAAAGGTCAACTCTTTCCACGAAGGCGCCCACTCCAAGGAGAACATTCTCAAAGACATTAATGATTCCCTCAGTGCCTTGAAAATCCAGCAAATCAATATTGAGTATCTGCATCAGCCTGACCGGTCGACTGACCTTAAAGAAGCCTGTGAAGCCATGGACCAGGCTCATAAAGAAGGAAAGATCAAGTACTGGGGTATTAGCAAACATACCGCTCAAGAGGTCGAGACTATCGTCAAGATTTGTGAAAAAAACCACTTCATCAAGCCCAGCGTTTACCAAGGAGAGTATAATCCGATTGTTAGGTCTGGCGAAAAGGAGCTTTTTCCAGTTTTGCGACGACATAACATCGCGTTCTATGCTTATAGTCCAGCTGGAGCTGGATTCTTTGCTGGCAACCATAAGAACGTCCGACCTGGCGGCCGCTTTGATCAATCCGTACGTATTCAAGCATCCATTTGTCCATGTACTAACGTGTCTATAAGATCTTCATAGGAAGCCTGTACGCTGAACGCTATCTCAAGCCCTCCATCTCGGAGGCCACGGAGAAAGCGTTGGCTGCAGCTTCAAGCCACGGAATTAGCGGCCATGCTGCGGCTCTTAGGTGGACAGCGCATCATGGAGCTTTGAGCAAAGAATATGGCGATTCTGTCATCGTTGGTGCATCGAGCGTGGAGCAGCTGAACTCTAATATTGATGCGATTGAGGCCGGGCCGTTGCCCGATGACGTAGCAGACGCTCTTGGAGCGGTGTATGCGGAGATTGAGGATATTCTGCCATACCATGTGTAGAGAGAATGCCACTTGATCTCTACACTGTTGAAATGGGGGTTTTATGATTAGTTATCCAATTATTCACTAGTCCATATCAAGTAGGATCAATATTCAACGACATCATTCGTGCTGACAAATGCTGAATTCGCGCCCGCTATACAGAGTACAGCCTCCTCTGACACAAAAGACTTATTCCACCTTGAACTTGATGGTATATTTACTAGTAAAGATACACTCATAAGAGAATCTGCTGAATTTATGACCATGAAGTTCATTCAGGTGCTGCATAATGCAGGACCCGAGGCGCTCCGAGAGTCAAAACGCGAGGCTCGTTCATACTCTGCCCAGGTGGCACACGCCAGAGCACGAAAGCTTCGCGGCCCTGGAAAAGCGAAAGGGATTGCTGAGGAAAATGATCCCAGAAAAGAAAAGAAGCAGACTATGAAAGTCCTGAGCGCAAAAGGCCAGCCTTTAAACCAGCCTTTGCTTCCATATAACCAAACGACTCTATCTATAGCGGACCTTCACATCCGACAGCCAATACTATCACCATACATCAACTTCCTTTCAACTCTCACAGCAGATGAATGTTTCATGTTCGATCACTGTAAGTAATAATTTTAATAGTTTGGGTTCTCCGAGTCCCAGTCTCCTCGTGTTTCGCCACTGGCAAGCTAATTGTTGATACAGATATCAAGATTGTGATGCCGTATCTGAGCGCTCGCTGTCCAATAGCAAGATCCATACGCCAGTACCAGGAATACTTGAGAAAGAATTGGATCATCATATCATCGCACGATACGGAATTTATCAGAGGGTTTCTCTTGGCTGCTTCCCGCCATTTATCCATGGTGGAGTCCAATATCGAATTCGAAGAAATAGCTATTCGGTATAAACTGGAGCACCTGGCAAAACTCCGAAAGGACGTTGCCATGCAACCAATGTCAATAAGCCCTCGATCGGTCTCGAGTGCTTTGGTTTTGTCATTTGACGAAGTGAGTCTCCCCATTCACATCTGCGTTCGGTATAGTGTATTACAACAAAATATTTACGGCCAAGTGCAGATGCTTCTCGGTAACATTCCAATGGCATTACGACATATCAATGGGGCAGCAAGTATAGTCCAGGCAGCTGGTGGACCACAGTCACTGGGTCTGAGCCAATTTATATCATATACGTTGTTCACTTGTGTCCAGGAAGACCGAATCGGAGATTGGGCTTGGGTGTTGAAATACGATAAAGATTTCATGAAGCCTAAGAAAGGTTGAAATTAAGGAGACTGGACCAAATGAGAAACTGTTTACACGTTCTCGAAGAGTACCAAAGAGGAGTATCCAAGGTATTCCTATCAGGAATCTAATTGGTTCTCAAAAGCAGCTGCGGACTGCATAGCCCAAGGACCTCAAGCAGATCAGGGTGTAAAAGCGGGGTAGACGTCAGCATCATTCAGACAGACATTTCAAAAGCTATAATCCTCAATCTACTCATTTTCTAAGCAAAAGGACTTTCGAAATGTCCCGTTGGCATAAAGAAACTTGTTCTAAGCCAATAGTTGTTAATGCTGGCAACACTCCACGCTGTGAAGCATGCGATAGTGTACCCGACATACAGAAGTACATTGCTCAGCAAGAAGCCATTCCTGCCTTTACCCAACCTCCACCCGACCCTCCTTTGGGTCAGTTAAACCTCCGTTGGCCGAGTTCGGTTAAATACAAGCAGCAAACTACGAGCATCGTACAGCTTGGCGGGGGATCAAACAAGCCAAAGATAGATGCCTTCGAACCGGGGGATAACAAGAGAGTCGCCCAGTCTCCCATCTATTCCTCCAGATTGGGCGAAGACGAGTTTAGACTACTCTTTCTAAGTCCCTCTACTGATCATGACACCCCTATACACGCCGAACTAGTGGTACATCAGGATGGCAGATCTCCGCAGTACGAGTCAACATCCTACACGTGGGCTGGTGAGAATGGTGATAGCTCCAAGTGCAGACCATTGTACATTGGACGCTATTGGGATATTGTTCTACAGACCCAGAACTGCTGGTCAATGCTGCAATCATTACGGCTCCCAATAGGAACGCGTGCTGTTTGGGTTGACGCTATCTGCATTAATCAGAATGACATTGAGGAAAGGGATTCACAAGTCATGAAAATGTCACAAAGGTACAGGAATTGTTATCGGGTCGTGGTTTATCTCGGCCCAGACATGGCAACATCCATCCAAGGAAGTTATCCAGCTCAGATGGAATTGACCCTGAGCAATTCTAAACAATCTATTGGAATGTCGCCGGACTCTTTCCGCAAGCTCCTTTGCAGGCGGTACTTTAGCCGCATTTGGGTTGTTCAAGAGCTCGTTTTGGCCAGAAGAGTGGCATTTCAGATCGGAGATTCAGAATATTGGATGGATTCCAATACGATGAGATCCCTGAGGGCCCATATCAGCTGGGATTGGAACTCAACTACCGCCCCATGGCTGCAGAATGTTGGCCTTGAGAGATTACAGGAAACAGATATCCTTCATATCCTTCGAGCAACACACATGTGCCAGTGCGCTGATCCGCGCGATAGGATCTTTGGTATCCTCTCCTTGCTCAGCAATAACTCTTCCGACTCTGTGCTGCGTGCAGACTATTCCTTATCATTTCGGGAGATGGTCATTGGGCTATTTTCACATACACTTCTCGGGTTGAGGGACTTGGGTGTTTTGCGTTTTGCCGCTGGTTTACGCAACTATTCTAAGCTCCCCTCGTGGATGCCTGATCTTCAACGTTTCGCTTCTAATGTTTCCCCCCGAGATGGATCGGATGAATTAGCAGCCCTTCTTAACAACCGAGAGAGAAAGTCGGAAAATGAACTGCGATTGGAAAACTGTTATTGCATCGTTGGTGACGATGAAGTGGATCGCAAAGGTACGCCATGGTATCTTGGCACTGCTGTTGACTCATCAACTGGTGCATTATCCATCAACCTCATACATTTGTTTGAGTTTGAAAAGTCTCCTCAGAAGATGGGAGATTTAGAATTTATGAAGGGTTGGCATCTATTCACTATTCCAAGTCGCCACTCGAATCTGGTGTTGTCGTCAAATATACCGCTCGATGAGTTAATTGTCCCCGCCCGAGATCATCTTTTCTGCTTAAATGACGGCAACCGTTCCCCTATCTTCCTACTCATGTCCCTTGAGACAGACAACAACACTTATAAGGTCATGGGGATCTGCCGACATGTGGCGTTCCAAGACCAAAGTTTGGATCTCCGCGAAAGTATACAACAATGGAACGCTTCCGAGACCCGTTATACGTCTGGGGATAATGGGAATCTTCATTTCTCAGAAGACAAGTCGGAGGATCAGAACTTACATCTGAGGAGCCTACAATATACTCTACATAATCAACTTGAAGCTATCAATACCGAAGATACATCAACCAATATATGGACCGATAACCCGTCCAGACTCAGCTCATTAAAGGCAAGGCTAGGGTTTGGTCGCGGCTCAAATTACACGTTCAAGCCCATTCTGATGAATTTAATAAATGAGCATGTTGAATGTGGGCTTTTGGCTTGTTTGAGTCTTGGTATTCCTACATCGTTCAGGCCCCAAGTCGAGGTTGGTAAATACATTGTGGTAACTGTCACAGAAGATCTTTTTGAAAAACTTGATCCAATATGGTGGAAAAGTATTGCTAATAACTGGCGATTTGTTGGGCAGGCTTGTTTTGAATCAAGTTCAGACAAGGATTGCAGTTGTTGGAAAGCGTTTGACAATACAGGTCTAGTTCGACATAAAGAACAACTTCAGAAGATGAAACGCAACTCTGCCCTAGTGGACCTGCTGTCCAAAATTTCGTCCCGAGAAGAAGACAGAGGAGGAAGTAGTAGTGTTTCAGATCACTGCATGCTTTGGCAGGACTATACTGAACCCCCTCTCATGTGGCCACATGCAGCCTGGCTGGGCGGCTTGGCGGTGCAGATACGAATTCCAAGGGAGGCTATGGAATGCCGGATAAAGCAGACGATGGCTTGGAAGACACTACACAGACTGAATCGTGTATCTCCTATCTCAAACGAAGATAATCTGGATGCAGTGTTGGGCAATCCTAACCCAAATCCCGATTTCCGTTCAATTGCCGTTCCTGGATGGCCCACTGAGTTAGTGGACGATTTCAACATTGATGGCAGTGTACAACGAGTTTGTATCCAATAGATAACCTCAGTTCACATCTTCACTTAATGAAAAATATATAGCCAGGAGCTTTAAGCACCATTAAAGTCCCATTATGCTGGGCCTCCTGCTATAGCTAGTTGTCGTATATATGAGTCAGAAACTAGAACACGGACGTTTTGCATTAACAGCCGTCTGTCAAATACAGGGACAGATCATTAATATCCTCAGTTTTATCTCTCTCATAACACTTCTAACAATATTCTGGTACTTGCAGTCCCTTTTGTTGGACATTTATTGCTGAGGATTAACATAAGCAACAACACGAAGATCGCCCTCGCTCTGTACTGAGCAGCCAACGTACGTATGAATGCCTAAACCATTCGATAGCCTCTCTTCTCCGCTAGGGACCATTAGCCGGGACTCTGCCTGATATAATGCAAGGCGATTTATTACTCACAAAACACTGTATAAGCACTCCGAATACCTCTTTGTCCAAACCGAATCGACCACCGTATCTGGTAACTTGCTTGTTTGGTATGCCAAGAAACATCCTAAGGCCTCGAGGATCTGCGAGTCACTGTCCGCATAGTGCCGGACTGGTATGTAGATCTTGACCTTCGGTGTCGAGCTGTTCGCACGAAACTCGACGTTGTAGAGGATACCTGCTGTTCGATGGTTTTTGTGTGAAAGGGGAATATCATCAGGCACTCCGGCCACCCCCAACAATGCGTCCCAGAGTTTCCTCAAATTTCTCATCCCAACTTCAAACTCTTCGCCATGTATCCTGCCTCCTATTGACATCATCTCTGTCACTGACCGGAAATCTGTTCGCCTGTCTCTAAAGTAGATCTTTAGTCTTGACTTCTCGACGGGAACTAAGTCCAGTGCCAACATGTCCATCTCGAGCCCCAGGTGCTGACGCTGATGGATGAATTTAGCGAAGCTGGCGAAAGAGCTGATATTCTCCAGTTGACATCCCGGAGCAGAAGTGATGGAATCTGCTACAACTTCAAGCGTTGACTTGCCCATGGCGTGAGCGATAAGCCCTGGGAAGAAATAGGCCTTGTTCGTAGTAATGGACTCTTTCAAGTCAAATGCCCAGAACATGGTGCTTTGATGACCCTCTGGCCCTTCAGCATTCCATTGACCATTGAAATACTGATAAAAGTGGTTGAAGAGGGTGGTATCGATGTCGGGGAATGCCCGGGTTGCTTGTCTTACGAACTCTGCAGCAGCTTCCTCGTTGTGTAGATCTGCAGCTGTCCCTGCCTCAAGACCAATGGGCTCGATAGAATATCGTATTGTTGGCTGACTATTACCAGTATGAAAGTCCCAGCTCAGCTCTACTGGACAGTTGTTGTCTGTCATAAAGCTCTTCCATATTAGCTCTCCCCCTACGGGCGATGACCCGAGAGAGGGGGCGACAAGGTTGGAGAATTGGTCGAGGATGCGGTATTGACTTTCGGAGTCATACCCAGCGCTGACCAGGAACCTCTTGAGCGTCGACCCGACAGTTTGGTTCCAGTACTGGTGATGGATGTCGAAAGCTGGCCCAGTCTTGTGCTTGATATTGTGGAGGGAATGGAAAGTCCCAGAGTCAAGCTTTGAAAGATTCACTTTTCCAGGCATCTTGATAAAAGTAACGACGATTTTCGGATATTGAAAAATTTGAAAGGTTCTCACAACGACCGAAGAGATACTATCTCGGTTTATATTGTTGTTGTTACCGTGATACATCGCAAATGGTCTCTATCCAGGTTTGTACCTGGTCATCCCAGTTGCGCGCGACATGGTTCCCTTTCGGAACAAGCGTGATAAACCGATCGGTGCCTTTGTGAGACATACAGCTCATCCCGCATGACATCAAACCCGCACTTATGCTGCCAAGAGAAAAGACTAAAAAGACTTGACGCTTTTGGATAGCTGCTCGGAGCAGTACAATGAGGTAATTGTTCCAAGAAACATGGGTGATGAGTAAGGCTCATGCAGATTTTGGCTGCTCTAGCTTCAATTTGGTAATATTTGGCTGACGTAGAGATTCTAACTCCGATTTATAACCGCTGACTACTCTAGATCTATCCATCAATAGACAGTGTTTTCT